ACAAGGGTGTTCTTCGAGTTTTAAATTCGAATAGAAATGAGAATTGGATTGTACGAGAGCACAATCGAAGTTTCATACCATGGTTTAAGGAACATATTTATTCAAAGTATCGTTCAGATCCCGCCTCAGTGACATAAAGGTTGAGATGTTTAGCATATGGTCCAAGTTTGGTTGCGTTTTCTTATAGCGCATACGCAATTAATGGATACACATTTTATACCAAAGAACAAGATGATAAAAGTACTGTGCAAAATAGTGGTGTCACCTTGGTAGCTGAAGCAATGCACATATCTAGTGTGAAGGACTTAAACCCTAAATTTGCAACATTAAAGGAAGTCTAACGGTTATTATTGGTTTAGGGCATTTCATGTTGTCAGCTGTATCTAGCTTCTCCGACTTATCGGGTAGTTGGCAAGGGAAAAGTGCACAACACCTCGAGAGATTTAATTCACCATAGACCGCTCCCGGATGGCCACATGAAGGTATCGGTTGATGTTGTTTTAGATATGAATGCATTGCTATCGGTACCTGACATTGTTGCGGAGACCACATTGCTGCGAGATGCAGTAGGATCTTTTGTGGCATGGCCATCAGACCTCATCTGCATAGATGATCAGGTATGTTGAAAACCATTATGAATCTTTAAGTATTCAACTGACAGTTCTGACCTGAATTTTATACATGGTAATTTTAGACTCCTACAAAACCCGCATCTAAGGATAAAGGGATTTTGCAGCGCGGCGAGTCTATTGCATCGCAAAGACAGGTACTTTTATAGTGTTTCATTTATGATCGGAATAAAAAACTGCATAACTTTGTATCTTACATAATTCTATATGATTTTTAAGGTACCTTCTCAAGATCAGTCACAGCAGGTGAGCCAGAAAGGTAGTAGGGTTCCACCTAAGAAGAAGGTTCCTGTCCGTAAATTTGTGCCTAGGTATCGACAGTGTCTGGAGACACTAGTTGGCACATCAGATTTGATGAATGATGGAATTCGTCAAATCGATGTGGATGAAATTGTCTTTGGTTTTCCATGTACCGAAACAATTGGATTAGAGGACATGGAACAAATCTTTCATCATCGAGAGTTAGGCATCAGTGTGATGCACTCGTACATCCGGTAACCCGATCAATATATTATTTAATTGGTTGAACATTTTTTTAAAACATTTAATTGAAATAGTCTAATATTAATTATGTTTTTATTTAAGGATGTTATTTGACAAATTGATGCGCGGGAATCAATTGTCAAATAGATTCCGTTTCGTGTCTTCCTCCCGTGTTAGCGGAGCAACAATTTCTAGGGAACCTGATTCAGTAAGAGAACACTTGGTCGAAAGATTCAGGACAACTGCCAGTACAGAGAGCTTGTATCTTTTGCCTTATAATACATGGTTAGATTTTCATTCTAAGCTCCTTTTAATATTTGTATTTTTTACATTAAAATTCGCTTCTAAATTGTTGCTTTAATTTATAGATGTCACTGGTTGTTGCTTGCAATCAATCCCATAAAAGAAGTGGTCTATTACCTGAATTCGGTTGACGGTGATTGGACAAATTATCCGGAAATGAAGCTAGTGATTGATACGTAAGTGACATTATTCTAAATATTCGTTTGTGTTTATATATTTAATTATTTCAATGTCATTGTTCTAAATAAATATTTTAATTTTATCATCAGTTCAATACAAGTATTCCGATGTCAAAGGGGAGCACGAGTACCACGGTCTAGATCAAACAACATTAATTGGATCAAAGTACAGGTATATAAATTTCAACAATTTTGCTTATAATATTTATGCTACTTGATAAATCAATAGATGTGTATAATCTTATTTGTTTTTCTATGTAGTGCCCTCAACAACAAAACGGCATAGATTGCGGATACTTCGTTTTGATGTTTATCAAAGAAATCATTCAAATGAATGAAATCGAGATTCCAATCACGGTATGGATTTATACTTTATTTTATTACTTATCGGATTTTGCATATAATTTATTACATTAAACTAAATCATGCATATATTTTGTTTTGTAATGTAGTATTTTGATCAATACAATTGTCCATATTACTCGCCACGTCAATTGGAAGAACTCAAAGAGGAGTTGTGTCAATATTTTATTGAGCTAAGAATCTTATAATAAGGTACGAATACATTGTTGTGTGAAAATTGGTTAATTATGAATATATTGTTTTGTGTATACAACACTGACCGTGTTATTATGTTCATATTGCAGGATCAGGACCTTGGATATATATGTAGATTAGGATTGATTTACTTAGTGTTATATAGCTGATTTCTTAGGGTGTATTTTGTTACGTTTAAAAACATGTTAATATTGAATTACCATGGTGTATATATATTTTGGATATGAATTGATTATAATGGTATTTGTATATATATATAATATTTGGTATTTGAATTACATTTGGTATTTAGATTAAAACTAATATATATTGGTATTTCTAGATTAGATTGTAAAATACCGGTTTAAGAATTACAGGTTTGCTGCAAAAAAATGCAGGTTTAGAAATTTTTTAAATTTTAGATTTTTCAGTAGAAAACCTATGAAAGCGCTTTTTTCTTAAAAGCGCTTTCATAGGTAGGCCTACGAGAGCGCTTTTAGCTGAACAAAAAGCGCTCTTATAGGCCTACTTTATACGCATTCTGAATACACCTATGAGAGCGCTTTTTCAGAAAAAAGCGCTCTCGTAGGCCTACCTATGAAAGCGCTTTTAAGAAAAAAGCGCTTTCATAGGTAGGCCTACGAGAGCGCTTTTAACTGAACAAAAAGCGCTCTTATAGGCCTACTTTAAAATCACATATTACTAAAAAAACCTTAAAATATTGGATCTATGCCATTTCTCTCTTAAAAATTTTCAATATTTTTTTCCATCCAATGTGAGAATCATTACACACTTGACATACCAACATCTTACTATTCAAAAATCAAATTGTATATTATTTTCTTGATTTCATTTTGATTACGTAAGATTTTATATTAATATATGATTTTAAAATTTTACTTTATATGATAAATTTGATTGATACACATCATAAAGAGTAAATTACCCATAAATTTACAAGAGATAGCCAACAATTTACCGTAGATAAATTACATGGACAACAGACACATTTGAGGTAAATCACAATTCTTATGAGTCCATAGATGAAGGACACTTATTTTATATTTTTACTCACACCATCAAGAAGACATATATAGAACTCAAAGCTCATATATAGAGTTGTCAAAATGAGCTAGTCCATATGGGTTGGCCCGTCCGATCCGATAAATCATAGGGTTGAGCCTCCAAATTAGAGCCTATATTTTTAAGGTTTTTTTTTAGCCTAGTCCTAAAAGCTAGCTATCCATTAGGGGGTAGCCCACATAGGCCGTGGGTAGCCCATTAGGCCCGCATAACTAAAAATTTTAAAAAATTATATTAATTTTTATATTGAGTTACTCTAAAATAATACATTGATTTTTCTCACTCTACTAAATTTTGTCTCTAGTTTATTCAATCTTTCCCTTTTAAATATTATACATTAATATAATCAACACTATTTCTTCATATTTAAATATTATTTTCTACAATTTTGATATATATTGTATTTAAAAATACATTATAGTATAAAAGATAATATAATAATTAAAAATATATTATATTTAAAATAATATAATTGTTATTTTAACTTTTTTATTAAAAAAAATCATTTAGAGTCAAGTAATTCGAAGTCCATTTAAGATTAGATTCAGGTTATAATTTTGTAATCTATATTACAATAGAACTTTTTAACCTAGTCTTAAAAAATCCAGACTCATGAGAACCAATCCGTTTAAGACCGAGTAATTCATTTTAACAACTATATATATATATATATATATATATATATATATATATATATATATATATATATATATATATATATATATATATATATATATATATATATATATATATATATATATATATATATATATATATATATATATATATATATATATATATATATATATATATATATATATATATATATATATATATATATATATATATATATATATATATATATGCTGAAAACTCGCTATGCCATATGGCGAGCGATATTGTCTGCCATTGGGATTAATTGAAGATTCGCTCCATATTAATACAGTGCCACTTGCAATTGCAAATATATGCCTCCTTCCTTCATTCACTCAACAGCTTCTCTTCGCAGCTGTCAACACGATTATTACAAATGCTAAATGGATTAGAATTAACTTTGATCAATGTGTGATGTATATACATATTTTATATTCCTAGGACGGTTTACTCTCAAAATATATCTCATATAATGATGTGACTTGTTTCCTTGATTTTGGATATGACCCTCCAATGTAATCAATAAAGCTAAACTCAACTCTCTTTTTAGGCAAAACAAAACACAAATTCACTCTTGTCTTTCAAATTTAAGAGAAGCCAAATTACATATTTGTACTCTAATCTAGTTCAATCCCATTATTTAAGTAATCCATAAACATCACCGTCTCAAGTCTTAACCAAGTCAATACCGTGTGAGACCCACACACCATTTTTATTCGGAACATTCCTTGCCAACTTATCTTCGTCACCATATTACGATACCATGCAGGCCCAACATGTCATCATCCTCTTTTCACTTACTCCTTCCAAATTTCAAAATTACTTCCAACTTTATTAACAAGCATTAGCCACAAAATTAAACCCAAACAAAACGGCATCATATAAGGAAGAAAAAGATATCCCAAATCTCAACTAACCCCATCGGCCATCACACATACAACAATTCTATTATTCTATCTATCAATAACCAAATTAAAGTTAAAATTTAACGTTAATTACACCATAAGAAAACCACCGGAATTCAATTAAGGATAATAATGTGTATTCATCAAAATAAAATGGTAATAACTTTTGATAAAAGTTTAATCCATTTTTTACCGAAAAAAAAATCTAACAGGGACTTGAAACCCCACTACTGAATAATCCAACTAATTCCTAACTTCCTCTTCGATCGAAACCCGTCCTTGGCCGCGCCGGCGACATCATGAACGGCGGAGTTGTGCTTTCTACCGGAAGTAAAAAACAAAAGTGAGTCCTTCTTCCCATCGCTATGGCTCCTGAGTAGAAAGTCCCGGAACTTCCAACGTTTGGAATTCGACCCTGCAGAGCTGCTCTTTTTGCAAGGTGGGGTCCACACGCAGTACGTACCCGCTGCCACACCGTCAAGCTCTTTTCCTTCGCCGTCTTCTTCCATGAGTTTCTTCAGGGGTAAACGACGACGGCGAAGTGCCGTTTCGGGGAGAACATGAGAACGTGAAACGACGCCGTTGAGCAAAGATTGGTCGAAGAGTGGATAAGTGGGTGCGATCTGACCATTATGGAAAATGTCATCGGCGGAAACTGAGTCGGTGGAGAGGAAAGTGAAGTCGAATTCGAAATCATCTTTGACAGTGTCGTTTAGTTTAAGAGTGTTATTGTCGTTTTGTTGGGAAGAGGTGTCGTCGGTGTGGATGACTCTGGTTGCTGTTTGAGCCATAGTGTCGGAAGAGTAACTGCTGAAGCTTGGAGATGAAAATTGGTGATGGAGAGACTCTGTTTCCATGGTCATGGTTCCGTTTCAGAAGAATAAGAAAGTGAAGAGAGTGAATAAGGTATTAGAAGATTCTAGGTTGTGGTATTTATAAGAGGGAGTGGAATGGGTGTGGTGTGGTTATTATGGTTTGTTTTTCCAATGTTATAAAAACTGTACGGTTTGTGTTTAGTGTGGAATTTGGAATATTTGCAATCAATGATCTACCCTGTCATTATTATTTACAAAAGGACAGAGTTAGCTTGATATGGGGGGTGGACAAGCGGGCGGTCGGGTTGGGTTGGATTCAGATCCAAAAATTATTTTGGGTGTTATAAGATAGTTCAATTTCGACCATCTAAATTTCAGTTTGATCGGGTTATGGTTTATCGGGTTATCGATTTGTACGCTTTGATTAAGTTGGATTACATGACTGTCAAATAATTATATTCTTTGAAATTGATATATCAAAAATGATACAGCAAATTTTTTTATAAATTATAATAAATATTATGATCATAATTATACATTCAGTTTTGGACATAAAGGCTACAATTCAAAATAGTTTTTGTTTAAGCTTAAAATATTGTGTGCAGCCAACATGATAACACAACCAACACTAATATAATTTATGTCAATCATCATACTTCAAGCACTTAAACACCCTTTATAAGCTTTATACAGTCTCACTCAATCAATCTGTAAGAGAAGAGAAGTGGTTTCTGCATGCAAAATGAATAGAAAATCAATGATATTATTAAAGGCTCAACTAACTAGTCATTTATTCTAATGCTACAAACCAAACATGAGGTCAACTTTAATTCTAATATTTCATAGTTTACCAAATCGTTAATAACAAAATGTATCACTAGGTTCTTATACATATAAGCAATTATGATTCTTGAAAATGGAATGCAATGTTGATCAACATTTTCATAAAATGATATTATTAACAACACAACAGCCAATTAGGAGTCGCACAAATTTCACAACACCAAGTATGCTTGATGATATGATAATCCCTCTGTCTAGCATATATCTAAGTGGTTCAAGCAAACAAATATAACATATGTTTTTTCAGTTATTACATTATGAGAGGAAGAAAGATCTACAGACCTTGCGCAAGAGACCACCCTCTAGTTTCTGCCGCTTGGCAACTTGACTCTTTATCACAACAGAGTTGTCTAAATTAATAATCTTTTTATGAGCTTGTACCTTCTGAAAGTGAACCAATAAGAACCTGCCCAAAATCGACCATAATTAAAACAAACATATTTAATAAAACCATCAGAACAGAACAAGGAGTTGTACCTTAGGAAGATCATTTATCATATCAACTTTCAAGCACTTGATGCCATCAATGAGTTTTGTGCATCTTGTGAATGCATAAAATCATAAACAATGTGAGTAAATCTCAAATAAGAAAATCTTAAACAATGTGAGTAAATCTCAAATAAGAAGCACTTAATTGTTATACCTAAACAACATGCAACATTGTTTTAACTTGTGAAAGACCACTCAACATAATTGTTTTGGACTGGCCTAATGACTAGAATTGGCTCAATCTGCTTCCATACTTGGCACGACCTAACAACAGTGGCCCAATATCCTGGTCGACCACGCCTATGGGCACACTACCAGCTATACCCGACACGCACGTCTGACCCAGTTAGCAGTTATCTCCCGTCAACCCGACACGAGTTGAGCAGACAACCAGAAAACATCCAGAACGGTCATATGCACGTATTATGCCTCCTCCTCGGATACAACGGCTAGTTACGCGCACACCTACCCGTTTTGACCGAGTCCTGGCAGTTACTTATTATTGTAGACCAGCGTATCTATACCCAAAAATAGGGATCAATGGCCAAGTGTCGGAGGCATTATATAAACCCTCACACATGTGAGGGCCAGTTATCGAATATCCATAATTCATCACTAAAATCCTAACACTTCGCTTGTATCTATTTTGCTACCACACTTACTTGATCGTCGGAGTGACTTGCAGGTACATCCCCTCCTTTTTTTCTCCTCGATTTTCCAACCCATCTGAAGATCATCATCCGGCCACCTTGCAGGTTCTGATCAACCGATAAGATCAGTGGTGCCGTATGTGGGAATCTATCTTCCCCATTTTCTGTTTCCCGAAATCTAAATACCAAAGATCCCCCTCATTCATCAATCATGGTCGACCACGATGATCACCACCTGTTGTATCCCAAAATTTTCCCTCTCATTTCCCAAGGGATCATCCTGGACCCTCAGGATTGCTTCTGTCAAATTTCAAGTCTCGGATTATAATTTTCCAAGAAAAGTCATTCACAAGGGTAAAATGGTCAAAAGCACACTGAAAAGTCAAACTTTGACTTTTTGATCAAAATCAAGTTTCAACAATCATATGACATCAAGACATAAAATTTGGTTCATCAAGAGATCAAAAGTCCGAAATTACTTTGAAAAAATCAAATTTCTAAACACTTAGAAAATTTTCTAAGTATTAAGAAAATATGACAATTTCAGAACTTCTGGGCCAGATTTCACGCAAGTGCAGTCAGAATTTGCAAAGATGGTTCAGAACATGAATCTTCAATTAGAACATATGGAAACTGTGTTCTTCAACCAAAACATGATTCTTCAGCATATGGAGACTATGTTCTACGCTTCGATTAGAACATCACCCTTCGAATCTCATTCTGGTCTTCTTCAATCAGAACATCACCAAACCCCAAAACCTCGTTTGAACGGTCTGCTGCACTACTATGGTACAGTCCCGCATCCAGCTGCCACAACACTCCAAATTGCAGATGATCCAGTCCACGCATGTATTTTTCTCAAACCCCATAATTGCACCAAATTAGCATAAAAAAGTTGTGTTTAAAAAGCAATGGAACAGTATGCAAAAAAGGTTTAAATCCCATTTGTCCCCCCCCCCCACCAAAAAACAAAGCAAACTCATCTATAAATAAGTTGTTCCATCACACATTTAAGGGGATGGCTTTTGGAGAGAGGGAGTGATCAAATACAAAAAAAAAGAGAGAAAAGAAAACATTCAAACACTCTTAAAACCAGAATTCCAAAAACAATACCTTTGTTCTTCCCTCTTGAATCAAAGAATACAACATTTTCTATTCCATTTCTTGCTGACCCCAGAATATTCAAAGGAAGCAGCTCAGGTCTCAAACGCACACTTCAGATTCAAGGTAAGTCATTCTGACTTTGAACTTTTCATTCAGAATATCATTAAATATGTAAATATCATAATGCTGATATTGTCCATATCATTGCCTAAGTAGAAAAACTGTGGATCAGAACTACTTAAAGAAAATTAGGCTCATAATTAGGATTAGAACTTCTATAAACTGTCGTGCTTTTATTTTTTTGTTTTACTGTTATTAAGAACTGAATAAGTTGCAGATGTTCTGGCTAAGGTAAGGAAGGAGGTGAAGTGTAACACAGAACTTCTGAGTTTTTCTTTCCCACTATTTTAGCATAACACAGAACTTCTAGGCTTTCTTACTGTTTTAACACACACAGAACTTCTAAGTTTTTCTCACTGCTGTAACACAGCACACAACTTCTAGGCTTTCTTACTGTTTTAACACATACAGAACTTCTAGGCTTTCTTACTGTTTTAACATACACAGAACTTCTAGACTTCCTTAATATTTTAACACACACAGAACTTCTAGGCTTTCTTACTGTTTTAACACACACATAACTTCTAAGCTTTCTTACTGTTTTAACACACACATAACTTCTAAGCTTTCTTACTGTTTTAACACAACACACAAAACTTCTAGGTTTTTTTCACTGTTATAACACAACACAGAACTTCTGGTTTCCTCTAACGTTTCTTTCAGAGCTTCAGCGCTCAACAACACAGAATTTCTGGTCCCCTCTAACGTTTCTTTCTGAACTACAGCATGCCTAGCATCAGAACTTCTGATCCCTTTCATTATATTTTCAGTAGCGTGTTGATCCTGTTTTCGTTATTTTTTCCCTTTTTATTCTTATTCTTATTATTTTCTGCATTAATATTATTTTTATTAATATAAAAAAGGCATAAAAAATATTTTCTTTTATTAACTAATTACTTTCCTTTCGATTTATTAAGACAAAAAACTATTTTTTAAAACAAATTCTTTCTTTTTTGTATTGTACAATTCAATATGGTTGTAATAGATAATTAGGATTTAAATTCTTGTAACCCCATTTGTGAATATGTACCCCCATCCCCGAAACGATGTAATAACTTAGGATTTATTTTTCTGCATCTTATTTTCTTTCTTATATTGTTAGTAATTAGGATGTATGACAAGATAAAATCAATAAATAGATAACCCTAATCAAAGACTAAATACATGTAAATCAAACACACTTGCACACTAGCACCTCTAGGGTAATCTCACTTTGTTGCCTTTCGGAAAACAGTCATGTCCCTCGAATATGGGAGTTTTAGCAAAGAACCTCGATAAAGGATCGTAGTCCCTCGATGACCCTCAATGTTGCCTTCGGTAAACGATCTAGTCCCTAAACGACATTGCTAAAACGTCCCATAAGTTGCCTTCTATGACTATACAAAACGTACCGCGCCCGTCCCTTCACATCCAACGATAGGGTTTCTTACCAAAACAATGGTGGGATAACAACATCTAAAGGAGGAGGAAAAGAACATTTAGGATCTTTTGAGTAGGTAGATCGCTCTTAGTTGCTCGCTTGCTCACAATAAAAACATTTTTATACACCCACAATTTCACCTTGAAACATTTTCAAAAGTTAAAACACTTTGTACGCGTTCTTATAGAGACGAGAACCATTACAAAGATACTCATTTTCAAAATACTTTCAAAATCCACATCACAAACACATCTTCAAACAAAAAGCAAGTGATCTAGCAAGAAACTAAGAGCCCGCAGATAACTATGGATGAAAAGGGTGCTAATACCTTCCCTTTTCATAACCTACCCCCCGAACTCAAGAAATAATCTCGAAAGGTCTTTCCTGTTCTTTTCAACCTTTCCTTTTGGATAAAATAAAAT